TTTCTAACCCACTTATTCCAGGTCAGGGTTGCATGTGCCTGGGACCTATCCTGGCAGCTCAGGGTGCAAGGTGGGAACTTCCCCCTCCCCCCCCCACAAGGTGCCATTCCATCACAGGGCTCCCATAATGCTGCCATTGCCCACTGGTCCTGCTTCTATTCGGAGTTGAGCTCACTCTTTCCCCTTTTGTGATAGTCTTGACCCCCTACTGCTAGAGTCTTGAATAAAGTCTTCCTTACCATTTGACAAAGTGTCAGAATAATTTCTCTTTAATAGTATCTTCTAACATTCTTCTTGCCTTGTTTTCAAGTATTTTTTTATGCTATTGTAAATGGAATTTTTCTCCTCCATTTCTGGATTGTTCATTGCTTATGGTTTTTATATGCTGATCTTCTATCATGCAGCTTTGTAGAACTCATTTTATTGCATTTAGTGGATTACTTATGATTGTGTGTATATAGGATCATACATTCTGAAAATCAAGATAGGTTTAATTCTTCCTTTATAATCTGGATGCCTTTTATTTTTTCTCCTATCCAGTTGCCCACTCTAGAACCTCCAGTACAATGTCGAATAAAAGTGGCGAGAGTTGCCTGGCTGGTGTGGCTCAGTGGTTGAGCATCAACCTGTGAACCAGGAGGTCATGGTTCAATTCCCGGTCAGGGCACATGCCTGGGTTGTGGGCTTGATCCCAAGTAGGGGGTGTGCAGGAGGCAGCCGATCAATGATTCTCTCTCATCATTGATGTTTCTATCTTTCCCTCTCCATCCCTCTCTGAAATCAGTACAATTATTTTTTTTTAAAGTGGCAAGAGTAGACATCCTTGTCTATTCCTGATCTTAGGGAGTCTTTCACAATTAAGTATGATGTTAACTGTGGTTCTCTACTAGGTGCCCTTTATCCGATTTAGCAAGTCCCCTTCTATTTCCTGCTTGTTGAGTGATTTGTAATGATAAGGTGTTGGATTTTGTCAAGTGCGCCTTTGCCTCTACTGAAATGATCATACAGTTTTTTGTCCTTTATTCTATGAATACAGTATATTGCAGTCTTTGATTTGGGATAGTAAATCAACCTTGCATTGCTTAAATAAATGACACTGTATCATGGTCTACATGCCTTTTTATATATTGCTGGATTCATGTGCTGGTATTTTATTGGAGATTTTTTTAAAGTCTGTGTTCATAAGAGATACTGATCTGTTGTTTTCTTCTGATGTCCTTGTCTGGTTTTGATACCAGACGATTACTGGCCTCTTAGGATGAATTGAGAAGTGTTCCCTCCTCTTCTATTTTGGGAGGAGTTTGTGAAAATTCGGTATTCTTCTTGCAGTGTTTGGTAGAATTCACCTTTGAAGCCATCTGGGCTTGGGCTCTTCTTGTTGCAAAATTTAAAAATTACTTATTCAACCTCTGTTCTGTATTAAATTTGTTGTAGGTCAGATTCAGATCTTCTATTTCCTCTCGAGTCTGTTTTGGTGGTTTGTGTCTTTCTAGGAATTTATCTATTTCATCTAAGGTATCAAATGTGTTGACATACTCTTGTTCATAGTATTCTCTTAGGATCCCTCTAATTTCTATGAAGCCGATAGTGATTCTTTTAGTAATTTGAGTCTTTCCTCTTTTCTCTTTGGTTAGTTTTTGCAGATTTGTCAATGTTGCTGATTTTTTTTTTAAAAAAAATCTTTTGGTTTTAATTAGTTTTCTCTATTGTTTTTCTGTTCTGTATTTAATTTTGTCTGCCCTGATCTGTATTATTTCCTTCCCTCTGCTGAGAACTCTCTTCCTGGTTATAGATTGCTGCCTTGTCACAGTGTCCTTGAATGGGGGCAGGGGGAGGCAGGGAGAGGAAGAAAGAGAGAGACAGACCTCACGTTCTCATCTAAACCTAATGACCTCCCAAAGGTCCATGTCCAAATACCATCATAGTGGTGGTTAGGGTTTCAAGGCTTCAATATAGGAATTTAGTGGAGGGAGGGACACAAGTCAGTCTATAACATCTTCGCTTTAATGTGGGTGTTTAATTTCCTTATATATTCCCTGCTATAAATTCCCTTCTGTGCACCGCTTTGACCTCATCCCATATGTTTTCCTTCTGTTGTTGATTTCTGATTTCATTCCATTCCTAAATCCCACAGCTAAGCCCCCCAATGTACATTTCTAATCTCTGCTCTCTTTCCTGTCTGTGGCTCACACTTTCCTGTTTGTTTTCTTATCTCAATTTTTTGTTGAAAACTGGACACTTTAGATAACATATTGCAGCAACTCTGGATACTGATTTCCAAACCCCGGAGTTTGTGGTTTGCTCGTTTATTTGTGTAGCGATTGTGCTGGGCTTTACTGTTTGAAGTCTTGTTTTTCCCATGGTGTTCAGCCTCTAATGTCACTTCTCCGAGGGAACAACCTTGGGCATACACACAGTCACCCTGAAGTGACATGGCTCGTTTTGATTGTCTCTTTTCTTAATCTCCCTGGTATGCCTCTTTTTTTCAATATACTTTTATTGATTTCAGAGAGGAAGGGGGAAGGAGAGATAGAAACATCAATGATGAGAGAGAATCACGGATCAGCTGCCTCCTGCACGCCCTGCACTAGGGATCAAGCCCGCAACCTAGGCATGTGCCCCGACCAGGAATCGAAACATGACCTTCTGGTTCATAGGTCGACGGTCAACCACTGAGCAACACTGGCCGGGCTTCCTGTTATGCTTCTAGCTAGTCCGCTTTTGTTGGTGTCTCACTCTGCTGTTAACCTTCACGAAGCGCAGGCTAATTGCTCTATTTTTTCCCAATAGTTCCCTAGACTTAAATGTCTCCAGTCTGAGCTAATTAGATTTGGGCTCCCTTGTCTCTGTGGGCTGTCTTAGATATTTTTTTCTTACCTCAGATGGTTCTTCTTAGCTGTCTCTTTCTTAGCTCTCTGTTAAACTTCTCCTGGCCTGTGGTTTATCTTGTGATTCTCATGATGCTACCACCGACATCTTACTTGCTTACCTCCAAAATCTCTATTGTTTTTTTTTAAATATGTCTTTATTGATTTTATAAAGGAAGGGAAAGGGACGGAGAGATAGAAACATCCATGATGAGAGAAAATCATTATCAGTCGGCTGCCTCCTTGCACACCCCCTACTGGGGATCTAGCCTGCAACCCGGGCATGTGCCCTGACTGGGAATCAATGACCTGGTTCATGGGTCCATGCTCAACCACCGAGCCCCACCGGCCAGGCTAAAATGTCTATTGTTTTTGACAGCACTCTTAGGCTTGCACTTCCCCACGCTCTGCTCCAAATAAAACCTGTGCTCTTGCCCTAGCCGGTTTGGCTCAGTGGATAGAGTGTCGGCCTGCGGACTGAAGGGTCCCAGGTTTGATTCTGGTCAAAGGCACATGCCCCGGTTGCGGGCTCGATCCCCAGTGGGGGGCATGCAGGAGGCAGCCGGTCATGATTCTCTCTCATCACTGATGTTTCTATCTCTCTCTCCCTCTCCCTTCCTTTTTGAAATCAATGGGAATGACAGTGACTGCTTCTCTGGGAGGGACACACTTGCTCTATCTATGGAGTCCTGGGTAACCCTGGTCTTCTTGGCTTGCCTCTCCCAGCATGGGAGTGAGTCGGGGCAGGGACACTCAAGGTCCAGTATTCTTGGCCTGCCACCTGAGGTAGAGCTTCTGCCCTGTGTGGTGGGGCTAGGTAGAGGACTGGAGCCCTAGACCTCTCCATCATGCCTTTCCAGAGTAGAGCTTCTGCATCGGTAAGCCTTAGATGGGGCAGGGTGGGAGGAGAAAGGGTGATGACTTGCCCGTACTACCCGCTCCTGGGGAGAGAGTATAGTCTTTTCCTGGGGCCTGAGGAGAAAGACAATCCCCAGGCTTTACTTGCCAGAAGTAGAGCCTCCAGCTCCCTGAGCTGAGTGACGTATGGAGCAGGTAATAGCTTAAATGCCATAGACTCTCACTGTTCTTACTGAGAATTAGTTGATTTTTCTTGTCTAAATGTTTCTTCATTTGGTTATGTCCTTAGGACACAGTTTTCAAAGACTTTAAATATATTTTATTTGTTTTAGAGAGGAAGGGAGAGGGATAAAGAGAGAGAAACATCAATGTGGGGGAGAAACATCGATCAGTTGCCTCTGGTATGCACTCTGACCAACCAAGGACCTGCAACCTGGGCATGTGCCCTGATGGGAATCGAACCAAGCACCTTTTGGTGCTTGAGATGATGCCCAGCCAACTGAGCCACACCGGCCAGGGCTCGGAGACTTTAAATGGTTGTTGTTGTTTGTTTGTTTTTAAATATATTTTTATTGATTGCAGAGAGGAAGGGAAAGAGGGAGAGAGAAACATCCATGGTGACGGAATCATGGATCAGCTGCCTCCTGCACACCCCCCACTGGGGATCAAGTCTGCAACCCCAGCATGTGCCCTGACTGGGAATCGAACCATGACCTCCTGGTTCATAGATTGACGCTCAGCCACTGAGCTGGGCTGTTGTATAATTTTTGCCAGATACAGACTTTTGTTGGAGAGAGGGTCTGTGGAGCTCCTCAAACCACAATTCTCGCGGTGTCCAACACTCACTTTAACAGTGTCTTTTTTCACTCTCAGATTATGCTCTTCATTTAGGGGTTTGGAAACTACATCCCATGGATCATATCTGGCCTATTTTTCCACATAATGTTTCCTTGGAACAGAGTCATGCCCATTTGTTTACATATTGTCTGTCTGACAGAGTTGAGTGATTGCGACCAAGACTGTTTGGCCCACAAAGCCTAAAATATTCAGTATCTGGCCCCTTTACAGATAAAAAAACAAACCTGCCAGCCCCCACTTCAGTTGATAAGCTTTACTAATATATTTTATTAATTAAACATAGAAGTGCTTCTCTAGTATATGTGAGTTCTCCAGCAGACCAACCATAATTAGAGTCAGATTGGGCTTAAAGCAAAGATTAAAAATAGCACGTCTTTAATATAAACATGTTATTTTCCGTCTTTCCAACATTTTCAGACCTGGTAGCTCAGCGAGGAGAAAGATTGGAACTATTGATAGATAAAACAGAAAATCTCGTGGATTCGGTAAGTACAGGATATGATCGTATTTTTCAGGAAGTAAAGTACAGCAAGTGGTTGATGGCTAACTTAAAGGGGAAATGTCTTAAATTCCATACTGTAGTGTGTTTTGTTCTGACCTATTTATGTGATTACATTATGATTATGAGGATAACAATGAGGCATAGAAAAAGAGCCACAACCATTAATAGCCACTAAGGAAGCTTCGGTTTGGAAAACCACCTCAGTTTACAGAAACAATTTTTCAAGCTTTGGATTGATGCCTACATCAGTTAGCACCTCAACTGCACATACCAATCTGTTCTCTGTAGGTTTTAGAAAACGTGAAAAAACAAATGTTCAGGCCACTTATGACCCAGTACGAATCCTGAAATCTGGACAGCTGCAGTCACTTTCTTGCTTACTGTGACATCTTTATTTTTTTAATCAATATATTTTATTGATTTTTTTTAGAGAGAGAGGGAGAGGGATAGAGAAATAGACACATTGATGAGAGAGAAACATCATCGATCAGCTGCCTCCTGCACGCCCCACACTGGGGTCAAGCCCGCAACCCAGGCATGTGCCCTGACCGGGAATCAAACCGTGACCTCCTGGTTCATAGGTCGACACTCAACCACTGAGCCACACTGATTGGGCTACTGTGACATCCTGAGCTTTCCTTATATCAAGCAAGAGGCAGGGATTGGGAAGGGCCACTGAGCCTTAAAGTAGTCAGTGTGTCCCCGTGACCTACTTGTGCTACAGTGACGTGTGTCTGGCGTTCTCCATCTGGTTAGTGGATGAAGGTTGTGAGGGAGATGAGAGGTATATGGTGAATACCAAGTGGGCAGAGATCAGTTACAACTTGCGTCTGCGTGATTACAAATGTAACTGCAGAGTGGAGGTTTACACCTTGAAACAGATCAGTGAGCGCTCATGTTCATGCTCACCATCTGCGGGATCGCAGTCGTTAATAGCACAAGCTCTAGAGTCCAGCTCCCTAGGATTGAATCCCATCTCTGCCTCTTCCTGGTTGTGTGACCTCAGGAAAGTTACTTAACTATGCCTCGGTCATTATCTGTAAAATGGAGATGTACCTACTTCATAATGTTTTGAGGCTTAAATAAGGCAATGTATGCAAAGTGTCTGACAGTGTCTGGTACATAGTAAGAGCTATTTAAATATTTTGATTGCTATTTTACAGGAACATTGGTTAACAGTAGGTCTTAGAAGGATAACAGTTTTTTCATCAAAGCACGTGGTAATTGGAGGAAGGGTGGCGCCCCAGGGTTCTGTAATGGCTCACTTTAAACCCATTGCTGGGGTGTGAAGAGGGCTCATACTGCTTACCATAGACCTGGCAGAGTCCTGCTTTGGGGAACTAATGATTATGAATGACCGTCTCTACCGGGGAAGAGAGGGAAGGGGTAAAGAACACTGGGACAAAACAATGAATGAAAGTAAATATTTGGAGGTATTGCTGCAAATCAGCCATATAGTCAGTGCCAGGGTTCAAACAATTCATGTTTTTTTCTAGTCTGTTACCTTCAGAACAACCAGCAGAAATCTTGCCCGAGCCATGTGTATGAAGAATCTCAAGCTTACCATCATCATTATCATCGTATCCATTGTAAGTTTTTGTCTTTTTTTGCGTGTGATTTTATTTTTTTAAATACATTTTTATTGATTTTTGAGAGGAAGGGAGGGAGAGAGAAACATCAATGGTGAGAGAGAATCATTGATCAGCTGCCTCCTGCATACCCCACACTGGGGATCGAGCCCATAACCCAGGTGGTAATTGAACCGTGACCTCCTGGTTCATAGGTTGATGCTCAACCACTGAGCCACACCGGCCGGGCTAGTTCTTGGTTTTAAATTGGTTTTAAATGAAATGCTTCTAATATTTAATTTATAAGAGTGACATTTACTATGAATACTTGTTGGATTTTTAAAGAACTTTCGTTTTATCTCTAGACTGCTAAAACTTTTGATCAGGAATAGGCATTTAATTTTAGGAAATGATATTTCTCTACCCAATGAATTGATAATGTAACTATTTACATTTAATATTAATGTATTGAATTACATTAATAAATGCATTTATAATTAACTATTTTATTTCTGGGACTGATACCAAGGGGTTATTATGTAGTATTTTTAATGCATGATGAGTTCAGTTTCCTAATATTTATTTAGTAGTTCTCTTATCTATAAGTAGAAATTAGTCTATGTGCCATTCTCCTACTGGCACCCCTAAGTGAACAGATATTGGACCTCTTTGAACTATCCTGCATGTATAGTAACCTTTCTTGTATGTTTAAACTCCTTTTTGCATTACATTCCAGGAGAATCATTTTGCTAACTCTTCCTACAAAATAAATTTACTTTTAGCTCTGTTCATTCTGCTACCCACCTCTTATTTATTTAGTTTTTATAATCATGTTTTCAATTTCTAAGAACGAAAAAGTTTAACTTGTTTTTCACGGAACTTGTGTTTGTTCACAAATGCACCCTATCCGGGGATTTCTCTGGATGTATAATCAGAGCGATAGCGCGGGGAATTGCATAGCTTACGTGACGGTGGGCGCCAGCTGGGCAAGTCCCACATCTGTCGGGCAGGCTGTGAGGAAGGGCCGGCTGGCCCTCTGACGCAGGAAGAAAGCAAGCTGTAAATCGCCGGCAGCATTCCTTCTTCATCAAGGAAACCTCAGCTTTGGTCGGAAGGCCCTTTCACTGATTGAGTCAGGCTCGTTCAGATTATGTAGGATAACCAGCCTGAAAGTCAACTGATTGTGAGTTTTAATCACATGTGCAGAAGAAAGCAACGCACTGTACCCTACCCAAGTTGACACATAAAACTGACCTCCCAGAGATATAGTTGTTTATATGTAATGGATTTTTTATTTTTATAGGAATTATATAGCTATTTTTTATTTCATTTCTTTTTTAAAATATATTTTTACTGATTTCAGAGAGGAAGGGAGAAGGAGAGAGAGAGAGAGAGAAGCATCAGTGATGAGAGAGAATCTTTGTTTGGCTGTCTCCTACATACCCCACACTGGGGATCAAGCCGCAGCCCCGGCATGTGCCCTGACCGGGAATCAAACCGTGACCTCCTGGTTCATAGGTCAACACTCAACCACTGAGCCACACCAGCTGGGTATGTCATGGCCTTAAATGTCTTCTTCCTCAGGATCCTCAGGTGGCACATTCTAGGCTCCTCGGCTTTTTTTTTCTTCCTTCTTCTTTGCTCTGGGAATTTAGATGAATTTATGAAGCTGGTTTGTTGTTCAATTCACATTATGTTTATTGATTACTTATTACATGCAGAACAGTACTCTACATGCAATGCCAATCTTTGCCAAAAGGTAACATATTGTACTTCAGCTTTAAAAGTCCTTATATTTCATCTGGCAAGCAACTTTATATCAAATTGGAACATGTGTGAGTGTGAATGAACATGATGTGAGGGGTTTACTCTATTCATTAATAACCAGAATTTTCTGAAAACCACCCCCCAACATTGGTAGAGAAGTAAGGCAAAACACTTTGATGACTTTTGGGAGGGGGAATGTATCAACTTTTTCCCCAAGCATGTAAATAATTAAATCAGTCACTTAAAGGTCTCAAAATGTAATTTAAAGCCAAGCAAAATGACTAATTTAATACAGTGGACCTAATGTCTAAAATAAATCTATTTTTTGGAATGTAGTAACGTGAGCAAGCATGTACACTTAAAACCTGTATGATTTTGGGAACCAGTGTCACCCCAATTAGATAAAAATATATATATCATGATTTCAAATGACAATATTCTAAAGAGCGAACACATCTATAAGAGGGCTAGTGTTTTTGCTTTCTTTTATCATCAGCTTGCCTTTGATTTGGTAATTGTGATTATTGTGTCATTAGCCACTGAAAGGTTAGTAACAACATTCTTGCTCGCAGGTAATATAAATGTAGAGTCTCTTTATGACTATTAATGATGTATCAGTAAGAGTTGGTTATATAAATGGATTCTTTCTAGTTTCTGGTAAAGAGAAACAATCCCATTGCTTTCTCTCCCACTGAAGAAAGCATAGTGGAATTCAGATCAGTGAGAATTGCCCAGCTGGTGTCGCTCAGTGGTTGAGTGTTGAAAGAGAAACAATCCCATTGCTTTCTCTCCCACTGAAGAAAGCATAGTGGAATTCAGATCAGTGAGAATTGCCCAGCTGGTGTCGCTCAGGGGTTTGAGTCTTGACCTATGAACCCCTTTGATTCCTGGTCAGGGCACCCATCCGGGTTGTAAGCTTGATCCCCAGTATGGGGCCTGTAGGAGGCAGCTGATCGATGTTGCTCTCTTGTTGATGTTTCTGTCTCTCTCTCCCTCTCCCTTTCTCTCTCTCTAAAAATCAATAAAAACATTTTTTAAAAATTCGGTGAGAATTATATCAGAACGGATTGTCTTAATTCAACATCTAGCTTTGAAAATACTAGATTAGTGTATTGTATTATTACATAACTACTACTCTGATAGAACCAGTATTTGTTAGTCTTTACAGTGTTTTATATATTATTTAGGAGCCTATGATAGATTCAAGAAAATAAAATTGCCTCCTTCCTCCCTCCAGGTGTTCATCTATATCATCGTGTCACCTCTCTGTGGTGGGTTTACATGGCCAAAATGTGTGAAGAAATAAAGACAAGTTAACCAAGGACATGCAAGAACAAGAAGTTAAAAGTTCCACGCGTCTTAAGCCTTTTCATACTGACAGATGGTGTCTGCCAGTCTCTTGAACCCTCCTCTTCTTTTTCTGTTTATAATCTTGTTCTATGCATCCAGATTGATCTCTGTCCTGTCAACCAATTTATTCCAATACACTTCACATTGAGCCATTCATTGCAGCAGTAGCCTTAATGGGCTTTTTGTTTGTTTCTTTGATTAACTACTGTCATCTCCTTAGAGAAGTATTTTTGTTTGTAATTGCACAGAGCTGTCACCAAGGCAGAAAGCACCAGTCCTGGGAGCTATCTCCTGTAACTATAGGCGCGTTTCGTGCACGCACGCAGAAGTATGCGAGGCACAGATAGTATTGCTAACATCTCATCTTTTTTTTTTTTTTGTTCTTGAAGGGTTTTAGGTGCTCCAAAACGATATACATGGAGACTCATTGTTATTTGGGGAAGTATAATGACATTGCTGGTGCTGCTTGCTTCTAGGAGCCCGGGCAGGTGAAGTATTAGACACTTTATCTCATCAGATGGGGAACCTTTTGCTAGCCCATTAGAAGCACATGGAACCATCTTTGACCTCCTAGCATTGACTTTCCAGAAGAAAGCTCTGACCATTAACAAACCTCGCAGAGCCTGCTACTCTCTGTTTCCCCATCACAGTTGAGTTGAGAAGAGGCTAGTGTCAATGTTATTGAAGGTTATGTTGTTTATATGTTCTTCTTCAGTTGCTATTTAGGGCACCTGTATTGTTAATGGGATACGTCATGGAGGGACGCCAAAGAAGAAGAGAATCACGGCGAATATGCTGGCATGTTTGCTGGGCAAAGGGAGGTAGCGTGGGGACTGTCGGCCAGTCTGGGAAAATCCCAAGCAGAATATAGTCAACGGTCAACTCCAGGGTTTGCTGTTGAATAACAGTCTGGGCATCCTTTGTGGTTTCGTCAGTTCCTCAGCTACCTCGTTTTGAATAATCCTTTTGTGAAATGAGAGTAGGCAAGATGAGGTCTAGAAACAATATAAGACAGCTTGGCGTTCATTGAAATGCACTGTAAGAAAACTGGAGTTCTGTTTTGGCTACTCTGACATCTGTTAGCTGATATGCACCTTGAATGTGTATCTGAAAGGACATTTGCTGCCCAAGATCTAATTGCATTTATCAAAAAGTGCCAGGAAACGGAAATTAAATTACATTTGATTATTTTCCCAACAAAAGAACAAATTTGGTCAATAAACCCCAGCCACCTGTTTAGCCTCGTCATGTGCCTTGAATATATATATATATGTCACATAATCTGGCTCACGCTACCTGTTTTTCAATCTAAACCGTTCGATTCCTGCTACCGGATTCATTTCTTTGACATGTACGTTAGGGCCCCTGGAAGTCTTCCTGGTGATCAGACAAAGCGCGAATGTTTTTCCAGTCCTGTTTATCAACACTAAGGCCTTTTAATTACATCAGCATTTCCTATTGGGAAACACATCTGTTCCAGGAAAACAGCTGGCATTCCTGAATAATAACTTCCAAATGTCTTTAATCCAAAGAAAAAGACTTACAAGTTACTTCCCTTTCTTGTACACAACTGAAAAGAACTGATGTGCATGTTTTAGGGATAAATTCCTCAACAGTCCCTTGATCTGTTTATGTATAAGAATGCTTTTAAAAGCACATATCTTGTTTTGAATGATGCACAAACTGAAGGCATTAATAAAATTTCAGAGTCATCTGATGAGTTGCTTGTGTTAGAATTTCTTCCTGGAATCTCATTTCTTAAAATGACATTTGCCACAGTTTACAGAATAAAGGTATTTTACTGATGCTGAAAATACATTAAGAAGTATGACTTGTACCTTGGCTGGTGTGGCTCAGTTGGTTGGAGCATCGTCCCATTCACCAAAAGGTAGTTGGTTTGATTCCAGGTCAGGGCACATACATAGGTTGTGGGTTCGATCCCCGGTCAGGGCACATGCAGGAGGCAACCAATCAATGTTTCTCACGTCAGTGTTTCTCTAAAATCAATTTAAAAATGTATAAAACGTATGACTTGTAGCCTTTCAGTACAGAACAATAGCATTGTCTTGGGTTTATAAAATTTCTACAAAACCAAGGCACAAAGAACTTAATAAAATATGGTAGGTCATACTGAAAGCAACGAAAGATCCTGAAATGGCCATGCAGCCTCCACAACCATCATCCTGAGACCACGGTTGAGACATAACAAAAGAACCCCAGGGATTACAAGTATGTCTCTCTACCTCAAACCCTTGGCCACAAGGTCAAACAGGGTCACAATCCATACGTTTCCTTCAGAATGAATGGATACGGCTTCCATCAGATAATGGTTTCTCCCTGCTTAGCTCTGCGCGTACCTATCCTTCCTGACCTTGAGACTGACGAAGAAATTGGGTTGCTTCCCAGGGTATGTTGATGGAAATAGATGCAACAACAATAACAGCAGCCCTAGACCCCCCCCCCCCCCGACACACACACACAATGTTCTACATTAGAAGCAGGTCTCTTTCTGCCATTTCCATCTTTTCAAGAAGAATAAAGGGGGTGGAGTGGTGGTGGTGATTCAGTTTGTATTCAATGGGGAAAACAGCCAAGACAAGTATTACGGAAACGAGTGGTTTAATGCAGGAATCAAGTTTACACAGGTGTGTGACACTGAAGGAAAGGTCTAGAGCAGTGGTTCTCAACCTTCTGGCCCTTTAATACAGTTCCTCATGTTGTGGTGACCCCCAACCATAAAATTATTTTCGTTGCTGCTTCATAACTGTAATGTTGCTACTGTTATGAATCGTAATGTAAATATCTGATATGCAGGATGGTCTTAGGCGACCCCTGTGAAAGGGTCGTTCCACCGCCAAAGGGGTCGCGACCCACAGGTTGAGAACCGCTGGTCTAGAGGGAGCCGTCAAGGAATCAGGAACTGTGCTAAGCATGGCGGTGGTGGACAGCTTGGAGCTTGAGAAACCGGAGGATTGCTATGTATCTATTTGCCAAAGTGGTTGTGAAGATTGACGTGGAAAGGTGTGTGGAAGCCACAGCCTCAGTAGACCTGAGGCCCAGTACCTGACTTGCACTCAAATGGGTCATCGGGGTCAGTCATCAGGAGGATGAGCTGGATATGGAGTGAAGGCAATTGAGAAAAAGCTGGGGTACACCAGGCACCTCAGCATCTTCACGTCTGGTCGCCATAACCATCAGACTATTAGCCTCCACTTCCCTTCTGCTTTCCAAGTCTCACACACGTTCATTTCACTGGAAAAACATAATCCTAATAGGGTACAGGGAGAGGAATTTCTATGAAGTTCCCAGCTTCTGGCAAGAGCCATGGTACCAGACCAGGAAAACCAAGTTGTTCCCATAGCCCTTCATTATATCAATTTAATTCCTTGATCTCACAGAGAAAGGCTATTCAGATAGGTGAAAGCATTCTTTTGGTCAGGATACATTGTACAAAATTATTTTGGATTCTTGCTGTTTATTAAACAAAAACATTATCTGAATCCAAAATATGTTGTGATTTTTAATGTTTCTCTTTTCCAAAGACAGAAGCTTTGAGTGTACCACTAACAACAACGTTGCCTTTTCAGCAAGCGCAATTGCTTCTTGCCATTGTGGGAGGACAGCAGAGAGCCAGATGGGTGGCTGAGCTCCTGACCCTAAGTGAACCCCTTCCTTTCTTGGGCTTCAGATCCATACCTCTGCAGTGGGCCATCGGTGGTGTGGAATCTGCTTTTCTCAACCCACAAGCTGTTCTCATGCCCAAATCCAGCACCTCAGCTTTCCTGTGGGAATTCCTCATCTGCTTCCAGTCTAAACAGTTCAAAAGGGCTGAACCCACACCGAGCCAATCCATCCTCTGGGTGCTCTGATGGGTTCAAGGATGAGAATGTGACCCAAACCTGGCCAAAGGGAATGTTTGATATTCTTATTTTTACTTATTTTTTTCATTCAGTTTTATTTTGTATTAGTTTCAGGTGTACAGTATGGTGGTTAGACAATCATATACTTTACAAAGTGATTCCCCTGATATTTCAGTACCCAACTGGCATTTAATTTTTTAAAATATTTTCTTAATTGATTTCAGAGAGGGAGAGAGAGAGAGAAACATCAATGATGAGACAGCTGCCTCCTGCACACACACACACACACACACACACACACACACACACACACCCCCGCACTGGGGATCGAGCTCACAACCCGGGCATGTGCCCTGACTGGGAATCGAACCGTGACCTCCTGATTCATAGGTCAACACTCAACCACTGAGCCACACTGACTGGGCCCAACTGGCATTTTAAAGCTGTGACTTTTCATGGATCCCAAGGGAAGGAGAACCCCTTCCCGGTGAATGGGGGTCAGCCCAGCGTTGCTGAACACTCTCCATGTGGGGGGAGAGGCTGTGCCTGTGAACAGCAGCCCCCCCAAAGGCACTTAGTAGGATGGAGATTGGAGAGGGACCAGGACCCACTGCAAGAGTGTGAGAACCCAGGCCTGTCAGGTCCTATCCCACTCTTCAACTTAACCCCTTGCAAGTCGTCACTTATTGTTACCTCTTTAAACACTAGGAATTTCTCTGACTTCAGTTAGTGTGTCCAGTTGCTAGCAATCAAAAAAGCCCGAGCTGACATATCAGAATTAATAATCCCAGAGACTTTGTGCTCAATCCCTCCACACGCCCCACCCAGCTCGCTGCCGTCACGGCTGTCAGCCTGCTCTCTGTCTGTGAGCCTGTCTCTGTTTTGCTTGTCAGTTCACTTGGTTCATCAGATCCTACATCTGGGTGAAATCATCAAAAGGAAAACAACGATGGACACGAACAACAGTGTGGGGATTGCCAGGGGGAGGGGGAGCGGAGGGAGGCAGAGGAGGGTACGAGGGGATACATGGTGATGGAAGGAGACCTGACTTGGGGTGGTGAGCACCAATGCAGTGTACAGGTGACGAGCTGTGAAATTGTGCGCCTGGAACCGGTATAATTTTGTCAACCAGTGTCAGCCCAATAAATTCAATAAAAAGGGGGGAAAATCCATGAGACTCCCTCCGGTACGATGTTCTCACTGGGCAGGCTCAGCTCGGGGAGATGAAGACGTGTGTGGGGTTGGATCTTAGGGGAGCTGCTGACCAGTTCTGCCCCTGCTCTCCATCCTGGGAGAGGGAAACCCCAAAACAGTGAGAGGAGAACCAGCAAGGGCAGGGGGCGAGATCCCTGGATGTGGAATTCATCTGATCGTATTGCCCTTATTTTAGGGTCCAGTTTACTCGTGTTTAGTTTTACTAGGAAATCGCCCATTTCCTCTAGGTTTCCAGTTCGATTCCATACGTTCATCTTATGTCATTGTTTTATTGTTGTGAATCCTCACGCGAGGCTATTTTCCATTGATTTTTAGAGAGAATGGAAGGGACGGGGCGAGACAGAGAGCGAAACATCGATGTGAGAGAGACACATCGATTGGTTGCCTCCCACACACATCCTGGCCAGGGCCAGGGGCGAGCCTGCAACCGAGGTATGTGCCCTTGACCGGAATCAAACCCGGGACCCTTTGGTCCGTGGGCCAGTGCTCTAACCATTGAGCGCCCAGCTAGGACTTATTTCACTTTTAACCTCTCCTGTCTTTCTGGTTTTTTAATAGAATTGTTACAATTAGTGGATGCCTTATTATTCACTGCAGTCTATATTTTATTGAGGTTCCCACATGCAGGCTCAGTCTCGATGCTGGCGCCTCCATCTGTTAAAGCCCTTACTGATCATCCAACCAGAGAGAGAGGTTAATGCTGACAGCGGGGACCAGGTGGGCGACTGAATTGGGTGGTATGATGGGAATGAGGCCAGGAGAAGAAACTGGCCTGATAGGAGTCTCAACCCTGTGCTGATAGAGACTTTATTCTTTAGGCCGGGGGAGTGGGGGGCCTGTTAGGAGTCCTATACAGTAAACAGGAAGTGACTAGATTAGATCCGTAATTTAGAAAGATCAAACTGGTCACAGTGTGGAGGTTGGATGGGAGAGGGACAGGAAGCAGAGGGGATGCTGGCCTGGGCTGAGACAGGGACCATGTCTTTGAAGAGGAGCAGGCATGCATAGACCAGCAAGAGGCTGTGGTTAATACTATCCTGAGGGTAAAGCTAGCACAGATGCAAGAGTTAGGCCCGGCTGGCGAGGCTCAGTGGTTGAGCATCCTCTTATGAACCAAGAGGTCACATTTCAATTCCCTGTCAGGGCATATGCCCGGGGTTGCTGGCTCCATCCCCAGTGGGGGGTGTGCAGGAGGCAGCCAATCAATGATTCTCTCTCAACATTAATGTTTCTATCTCCCTCTCCCTTCCTCTCTGAAATCAATAAAAAATATATTTTAAAAAAGAGGACTTGGAGGGCTTTGGCTATTTGGACACTAATAGGAGAGCTCATTGTATAAAAAGGAGACTGTTTGCTACATTTTGTATTTCTCTGGCCCCATAAAAGATAAAGGACTAAGAAGGGAAGAGAGAGGGAGAGTGAGTGCTGATGTGTTGTAGAATGGTGCACCTGAAACCTGTAAAATTTTGTTAACCAGTGGCATCCCAATAAATTCAATAAATTTGGGCAGGAGCTAACACACGCTACTTCACTGAATCTTCACAGCCACCCTGAGAGGGAGCGATTGTCCCCATGTGGGGCAGTCTGAAGAGGGCCATGAGAATGAGTCTTGAAATCCTGGTGATACTTCTAGGGTCAAGGA